ATGATCATACATCAATTTTTAATCAAAAAAGTTATACTTCAGAGTTTTAGTCTCATATTGAGATTCATCTTTGACATAAAAAACATTCGAATTGGAAAATGACATCTAAAGCAAAATTATAGTATTTTATGTTAGCTTTCTAACGCAAATTGAATTGCCTCAATTGGATGTGGGAGAAAATGTTATGATAAAAAGACTGAATGTTATGTAGTGTAACTGAAGTTGACAACAGTGCCCAGGCGCTAAATTATAGCGCCTTGGCGTAGCATAGAGTTAAAATTTTCCAAGTTTGATTCATATTTTAAAAGTCCAATTTCAATCAAATTCTTTAAGTGACTTAAAGAATGAATAAACACCAATCTAGGGGCCACTTTTGGAGGATAATTTAATCGGACAAGAAAAGTTTCACACGATTTGGGGAAAGAAAATGCACATAATCATCAAGATCAAAGAGCAAAAAACTTGGGTTTGAAGACTTTTGAGGTTGAAGAAGATTTTTGGTGCAAGATCCAATTCTTTCCACGATCAAGATTTCAAAACCCAATTATGAACTCTTTGCCTTTTTTTCTTTCTTTCATTATTATGAGTAGTTATATTCATAACCAGGGTAAATAATGTAATCTATGTGTGACTCTTTATTTCTTTATTTAAAATTCAAGTTTCTTAAATACATATGTGTTGATTTTAATTATGTACCTCATATTTTGAATTTCTTGGCCAATTATTCAATGATTTTGTGAATCTATTATGAATTGAGATGTGAGTTTTAGATTTAGACCACATATTAAAATTCAATAATTTATTATAATGTATAGTGATACTTATACTAATTATTGCAATTGTTAAATGAACTTTTAGAACTAATATTTCATTTAACTAAAATTGATTCGCATAGATTGAATTAATTAAATAAATTCAACGAGAACTCGAAAGGGGTAAATTGAATATTTTAGAAAAATTCTACCGAACACTACAAAATTGTAATGAATCTTGGCCTGCATATTAAAGGGGATCCATAGGTAAAATTATAAGTCCTAACATCCATATTCGTACTTTTTAAACCCAAATTCAATAAAGTGTGTACATTAGATCATTTAGTTTAGTTAAAATAATTCAGACATCAATCATAAAACTTATTATTTGTTTTCAATCAAAAATGGTAATTCTTGTGGGAATGATATCCGAACCCTTAAAATCCACTTTATTACTTGTAAGATCAGTACACTTTCAAGATATAAAAATCAATAACAACTCTGTCATATATATAAGCTCCTGTTTGATTTTGTTATAAATTAAATTTTTAGTAGATTTTGATAAAAGTGGATGAAATATATAACTAAAAAGTTGATAAAAAAATATGAATTTCATGAAATATGTGTTAAAAATCAATTATTAATTTTCACTTAAACTTTTATCAACTTTTTAATTAAATCAAATTGGGGCTAAGTGACAAGTTTTATTACAATTGCAGTTGGCTTCCCCTCCCCCCACCAAGGGACATTTGCCTATCGAAAGATTGTAAAGTCCTTAATTTTTATTTTCTTAAAACTAACTTGTTATTATAACCTACAATATGTAAGAGAAAATAAAAAGTATATTTGTGTACATATAATGTAGAATTAGGACATTTTTACTTTATATTATAGTGTATTACTATTTTTCATAATTCACGAGCTTTAAAACAATCGACACTAAAGACACCTGACTATCACTACTATTAATATGTAAAGTAATTTTTCAAACTTGAGCATTTTGAGTAAGCAGTTTATCAATAAGAGAATAATTTCTTGGACCCATTAACTTGTCACAGGCTTTTAAAAATTATGTGTTTGACATTTAAACCCATTGCTTTCCTTTTACTCTTAACTTTTACATGAATGTAATCATTCTTCAAAGATTTAGAATTCAAAAGTTGAAATAACAAAGGTAAAAGCAAAGTTTATCGTGCCCAAAGTGATCATGTCACCTACCCCGCCAATCTCTGGATTGCTATCTTGGCCTGCATATTAAAGGGGATCCATAGGTAAAATTATAAGTCCTAACATCCATATTCGTACTTTTTAAACCCAAATTCAATAAAGTGTGTACATTAGATCATTTAGTTTAGTTAAAATAATTCAGACATCAATCATAAAACTTATTATTTGTTTTCAATCAAAAATGGTAATTCTTGTGGGAATGATATCCGAACCCTTAAAATCCACTTTATTACTTGTAAGATCAGTACACTTTCAAGATATAAAAATCAATAACAACTCTGTCATATATATAAGCTCCTGTTTGATTTTGTTATAAATTAAATTTTTAGTAGATTTTGATAAAAGTGGATGAAATATATAACTAAAAAGTTGATAAAAAAATATGAATTTCATGAAATATGTGTTTAAAATCAATTATTAATTTTCACATAAACTTTTATCAACTTTTTAATTAAATCAAATTGGGGCTAAGTGACAAGTTTTATTACAATTGCAGTTGGCTTCCCCTCCCCCCACCAAGGGACATTTGCCTATCGAAAGATTGTAAAGTCCTTAATTTTTATTTTCTTAAAACTAACTTGTTATTATAACCTACAATATGTAAGAGAAAATAAAAAGTATATTTGTGTACATATAATGTAGAATTAGGACATTTTTACTTTATATTATAGTGTATTACTATTTTTCATAATTCACGAGCTTTAAAACAATCGACACTAAAGACACCTGACTATCACTACTATTAATATGTAAAGTAATTTTTCAAACTTGAGCATTTTGAGTAAGCAGTTTATCAATAAGAGAATAATTTCTTGGACCCATTAACTTGTCACAGGCTTTTAAAAATTATGTGTTTGACATTTAAACCCATTGCTTTCCTTTTACTCTTAACTTTTACATGAATGTAATCATTCTTCAAAGATTTAGAATTCAAAAGTTGAAATAACAAAGGTAAAAGCAAAGTTTATCGTGCCCAAAGTGATCATGTCACCTACCCCGCCAATCTCTGGATTGCTAAATGTTGAATTTTTTAAACTAGAAAGGGAAAATTGCAGCAGCGGTCTTTCACCTTTCATTTTTTTACAAAATTAATCCTAATTTTCACTTTTTGCTACTCACAATTTCAAACCTTTCAAAAATATGCACTTGGGTCTAAATGGATGAAAACCGTCCATTTGATCTTTAGTTGACCAATAAAATTGAACTTTGACCAATTTATAAGGATAAAAAAGGTAACTTTGCTATTTAAAACGCATAGGAAGGACAGGTACAGGGGTATTGTTGCCAAAATTCAACCCAAAAAGTTTTGACAATGGAAGTTGCAGAATATCTTATTGTTGCACCAATTATTCTACCCTTGAGTTCCTGCCTATGACTGAGAAGATGTAAGTGTGGAAAATATTCAGACAAAAATTCGAGTTAAAAATTAGGACTTTATATGAATAATATTCACACAAAAAATCTTGTGCTTCGCATAAAAAACATCATGAATAGTAAAAGATTTTTGGGAAAAGGGCATCTTTATTCTGCACATCCTCCTTATTAACCTTCAAAACACTATAAATTCAGTTACGTCGGAGAATGGTGGGTGGGGTGAGGTGAAGAAGAGATGAATAGTTTTCCTTTTATTTTTATTTTGTTTTAGTTATTTATTTTATTTTTTATTATAGAGTTAAAATAGTAAAGTTACATTTTTACCCTTTTAAGCTGGTCGAAATTCAATTTATTGGTCAATTAACGGTCAAATAGACGGTTGCCATCCATTTGAATTTCAGTTGTATATTTTTGAAAGGTTTGGGATGGTTGGTATCAATGAAGGTTATGGTAAAATTTGTATAAAAAATTAAAGATTAAGGACCACTGCTGCAATTTTCCCAAATAAAATGCAGGGATGTGTTTTAAAATATTCACGTGCTACACCGTAATAATAATTATATATTATTGTTAAAGTATCTTTTGTTATATTGGTCAAAGTACTCGCTCCGCGTGAAGGAGTCTTCATGGTCACTTCATGTTTGGAGTTTTGCCAAATTTAAATTTTGACCATTATTACAATATATGAAAATTCAATTAATTGAATGCAATTAAAATTTTTTTTGGGCAATTATAAAATATTTAATTCTTATTTTACAGGGATTAAAATCATATTTTTAATCTATTTTAATAAAAATTTATGAAATATAATGAAAAGTTGTGATTTCCATGAAATATGTATTAAAAATTAATTGTTGACTTTAATTTAAATAAAAATTTAAATTTTAATCTTTATAGCTTTATTTGATTTCCAGAGAAAGAAAAAACAAAAATTTTAAGAAAATTGCAACAAAATTCACCAATCTTTTGGTAATGTAACAAATTAGCCATAACCTTTTATGTTTTTGGTATTTAAATTTCTCCTTCAAGTTTGTAGTTCTTTCATTCCTATAACACAATTTTCCATCCGTATATATATATATTTTTTTTGGGATGAAAGTATACTTAATTTTAAATTAAAATTAAGATATGAAGAAGAAAGGAAACGGAGAGTATTGGATCCCAAACCCTACTATTGTTTCCACCTCTGATCCTCACTCTCCTTTCTCCGTATGCTTTTTCTAGAAAGGCTCAATAAAATTTTGAAATCGACTCCTCTAAGATATTGAGAGCGATAGTATTGTAAATTTGTAAACTTGAAAACGTAAATGTCAAAAAATAAAACTGAATACTCATTTGCACAAAACGTTCGTACAACATTTTAAAAAATAACCACAAAAGAATTGTGTTCAAGAATATGGATGACAATCGAAGGAGCCAAGACAATACTCCAATCTCTATGTTGTGTTGGAGATTTTTAGAAGGCAAGATGAACGAAGATTAGAATGTTTTCATTTTCAGTTCAATTTACTTATTTTTATATATTTTTAATAAAAACCTAAATATAAAAAAGTAAAATTAAAAACAAGAATCTATTTACCGGGAAAAGACATTTTTGTAATTTCCATTCCAAAGTCTTACACCACATCATTTCGGATGTTAGTTCCGAGCCGACAGTGGTAATAAAACTCGTTAAAGCACTCGTCACTCCTCTGTTGAATCATCTTCCCACCTTCCTCCATTCGCCTAATGAGTAAAACAAATCAAATCCACCCTATATAAACACTTGCAGGTGGTGTAAAGCTACAATCCTTCATTTTTCTTCCTAAAAATTCTTTCTTGAACCCTGTCCTCTGATTTCTTGAATTTCCCCATAAATCTTTTAATGAAGCCCATAAAAATTCACTTGATGTAAGCAAAATCCCACATTCGGTATGGGTTTTACACAAAAATCCCTTATTTGATAGCACAGCAATTTAATTCAACTGAACCCGTTTCAGAATTTTTTTTTTTTTTTTTAATTTATCTGATGAACTTGGATAATTCATCAGTCATTCGCACCATGTCGTTTCCATGGAAGAAAATGAGGAGCACCAGAATTTCCCGATTGGTGAACGATCATTTGCGGAACTCCCAGAGAAGGCGTGGGGACTCTTCTCTTGTCGTGGAGACGGGGTTCCCAACCTCCCTCGTCGATCTTTTCATCAAGAATCGCAAAAAACTGAAAAAAACATCGAAGAAAAATAGAGCTAGGAATACAGCTCTACCAATTGATGATTCTAATGATCCAGTGATTAGTGGATCCTTGTTCACTTCTTCATCTATGCATACGCCTTTGTTTTGTCCTTCACCTAGTCCCTCGCCTTTGCCTTTACCTCCGCGGTCGAGTGATCTGGACGAAATTGCTATTGTAGATGGTGATGATGGTGACTTTGGTGCTAGAGGTGATAAGAGGGGAAGTAGTGTTAACAGGGGTGTGGATATGAATCGGGTTTTTGTGGCAGCTGTAACGGTCTTTATGGCCGTGGTTTTGGCGATAGGAATGGAGAAATTAACAGTGGGGGTAATAATGTCGGCGTTTTTCTTGTTTTCACTGGAGTTTGTGGGAAAATGTGGATTGTTGAAGCCATATTCTAATGCACAGGAAGTGTTAAGATTTATTGTACAGTCTTTTTGTATATTTTCCACAGATAGGAAGACGAAGAATGCTGGTGTTTTGAGCTATGAGGTGTTACAAGAGGAGTCTTTTAATCCCATCGATAACAAAGGTAAAAGCAAAGTTTATCGTGCCCAAAGTGATCATGTCACCTACCCCGCCAATCTCTGGATTGCTAAATGTTGAATATTTTAAACTAGAAAGGGAAAATTGCAGCAGCGGTCTTTCACCTTTCATTTTTTTACAAAATTAATCCTAATTTTCACTTTTTGCCTGAAAAGGAGATAACGGAAGATCTTAGCCATGATGGTAGATTGGTATGTATAGAATTGGGATTGAAGAAACTGATAATGGAAGAGTCTATAAGTGAAAGGCTGGAATTGAAGGAGAGGAAGTTGTGCAGATCTAAGATGAAGTCGAAGATCAAGAAATTTGTTTCAAAGAAACTACTTAGAAGAAAGGAATGTAACTCTGAAAGTTATAAAGTTAGTACAATTAGAGACGATAGCATTGCCATATGTGAAGAACAAGACACATATGAATGTGAGGATGAAATTGAATCAGAAACTGATTTCAAATCGTCATCCCTGTCAAGTGGAAGGGATGAAAGCAAAGATTTTGTCGATGCCAAATGTGCTTCTGATAAATTATTATTGGAGGCCAACACTAAAATAAATCCAGGTGAAGAAAAGGTGAGAACAGAAACCCGAGAGGATTCGAGATATCTCTGTCTGATTGTTCTCATCGGACTTATTGGAGGTCGAATATTTGCACTTGTGATTGCCTTATTGTGGTGCCTGCTGTTAAAATCCAGCAAAACACCACTACAAAGACTCATAAGGCTGCCTATGATAAAGTATTTTACAGATCAATCTAGTTAGACAATTTTGCTTGTAGAATCCTCTGAACTTTGCTTCTTGTGAAGTGCTACTCAAACTTTAGAGTTACTGAATGTTCCACCTTTTGGTTGGCCTCTCAACTTGAGGCGTTGTTTCTAATAGGTAGAATTCATGATTTATGGATGCTTCATTTAGTTGTCTTCTTTAAGTTTTCTGTATCGACCTGCGATGAATGGAAGGATATGACTATTTATCTTAATTCTTGAAACTATCCTTAATGAAAATAATAGACTTAATAATAAATAAATAGTAGGTTGGGAAACTTTTGAGAGGTTAATAGTGAAGTAGTAGTTGTAAAGTTGCTTTCTTTTCTTTCTCACAGAGTCTTTTAGTGTTCTCTTTGGAAAAACGGATTATTGGTGTATGGTCCTGATTTTATGAGCCATTCGCCATATGTAGTAAAATATCAGTTTGAGTTTTGTTTTGTCATTTCTTGATAAATCCCCTTTATCTGTCTGCTGGTTAATCTTCTTCTAGTGTACTCTCCTTGTTGGCTATATGTCTTTTTCATTGTTAGCAATGTCTTTCAAAAATTAGCCTCAAGAATTTTAAGCTGAAGTTCGTGATTGGGTTTGTCTAGTGTTCGTTGCTTAAATAAGGCCCCTGTCGCCTTTCCTTAATTTAGAGAGGCAAGAGTTATGCAGGTAGGTAAAGTGGGTAGGAAAATTTTACTTGTACATAATTATTGCACGTAATGGTGTCCATAATGTGATGTGTCAATCATTTAGTTGTTGATGTATAAGTGTGAGATTTGAATTAAATGTTGGATCCAGTGCCACGTGTAATTATGGACACCATTATGTAAACAATTATGTACATGTAACACTTCCAAAAATGGGCATCAATGTCGTAAATCTTCATAATGCTCATTAGACTTTTTTATGTTACAAAGCTATCTTTGCAATGTCACTGATTTAAGAGAGGGAATTGTGTCAGTTTGGTAGTCGACACTTGACTTGAAGGCCACAGAGTGGTATTTATTTTCCTTCTTGTCGAACATGAATATTCGTCATGGTATGTTTTTAGTACCATTGGTTAGAATCTAACATGGTGAGGAAGTGACAACTCTTATTTTTATGGGCCAACTTTCCCCACTTTGTTCTCCTTTCACAAGCAATAATTTGATTATTTGAATTAAAATTTTTCCTATTAGAATGTCATTGAAATATTTATGGGAATTGATATTTTGGTACACAGAGCTCCATATGGGATGTACTATAACCATGCATGCTGTCTCCTTTTTTACTTGAATATGTTTCTTACTTTTGCCACATTACAGTACAAGCATTTTTTCCCTTTCTAGAAGTGTAAAAAGGACCAGGCTGTATATTTGGTTCAGCAAAGGTCATATTTATGCACTATCCTTTTGTTTCAAAATTTTGATATTTATTTTAGAAAACATAATTATGATTTGATTTTATAGATTTTATTAGATATTTCCTACCTAGAATACAATATTTGAAACCCTATATAAAGGGTCTTATGCAGCCCCTATTTGACAACCATTATTTGAAAACTTATTTTTCTATACTCATTATCAACTTTATATTCACACAATAAAATATTTTGCTCGTAAACTCAAATTTTTTACCTATTTTTTAACCATACATTATCCTAAAAATTACGGTTCAAAATATTTTTTTTCCCAAATAATGATTATCAAATAGGGACACAATGTAGGTCATACAATGTCAATAATGAAAA